TTTATAAAATGTTATATATATATATATATAATAATTATGTGTACACAAATATGTAATATAATAGATTATCTTCCAGTATAAATATCGAACATTTCTTTTTGTGTTGTGTATATTTATTAGTATTAAATTAAATACATATATGCCATATAATTTAAATATAATATATTTCATTATGTAAGATAGAAAAATACAAACTTTATTCTATTCAGATTAATGAATATGGCCAAGGAAGATTCAAGTTGATTTATCGATGGTATGCATTCAGCGAAATATCAAACAGCTATTCGTCGTGAATATTTCTATAAATCTTAAATAAATTTTGCAATCTTCACACGAATTATAGTCAGAATCAGGTTTTCATTCAATGCAACAGGTGTTCCAATAGTATTTAAAATAATTCTGGAAATTGTAAGAAATTTATATACCGATATTTATAAAAACGTAAAATATGACCTTTTCAAGTCCAAAGCATTGATGATACTTCGATATTTATCGATAATGATAACGATGCCGATGCCAAATATCCTGAGTCTTGTTTCGGCACGACCAATTCTACCTGCAATCGTAGTGGCTTCTGTTCCGAAAGTGGTGAGTCGCACCCGAGAACGGCAATGGCGGCAACTGGCGGCATCGATGGTGTGTGTAGGCAATGGCATGGGGATAGGCCGTAATTGGTATAAAATCATCGAGCAAACACATCGGACAAGACAGCCCGGGAATTGTGGGCGGTGTTGCGTGCCGTTGTCCTGGTTACCGCGGGGGCGACTCCGCCGCTAAAGCGGACCCTTCGCCCCCGATTGCGCGCAGGTCCGCCGCCGATACACACCTGCGTGCGTTCCTTTGTGTGCGTGTGTTTGTACGGGTGTGCGCGATGGTCCACCAGAATCCAACATGCTACCCTTACCTTTCCTCAGCTACACGCCAGATTTACCGCCACCGGCAGCGCCAAGGATCGCCTCTGACCAAACGTGATCTTCACCCCACGGTAATTCACCCATCCATGATTGTGGCCTTCCCGCCGAAATTTTTATTTGCGGCACCTCAGCTTTTTCTCACCTTGTTTATTTACGACGATAAATGTTTCACAAATTGATTCTGAAACAGAATTTGTATCTACAGAATTTCTGCATTTCGTGAAAATGTAGAGATTGAAACCGGTATTCATAGTTTATTTTTATTTTCAAAATATAATTAATATAATTAATATAATTAATATAATTAATATAATAATAATTAAATAATGCGATTCTGAATTAGTTTATGACTTAATCTTAATAAGATATTGTATTTAAGAATTAACTATGAATATTGACCTGAAAGAATATCAAGTTAATCTCAGTTAATTCTGGCAAAAATAAAGATTGCAACATACTTAAGTTGAATGTAAAAGGAAAGTGGCAGAAGTTAAGTTTCTAGAAGGCGAAAATTGAAAATAAATACGTCTTTTACATTGTCTCAATTTTTGCCTTCTAAAAGCTTCGGATCGTTTACACTTCTTTCACTCTGTTCTTACATTCGATTTAAGTATGTTCCATACTCGCGAGTTTTATTTTCGCCAGTGCAAGATCGCCTTTTCATAATTAAGCTTAAATATTAACCTGTATAACGCAGCCATAATTACTTACGTAGCTTCCAGTTACTTCTGTTTCGATTCCGAATCGGATTTAAGTTTCGTCTACAAAAGCATCGCGGTTTGTGACTACATCCCCATAAATCTCCATAATCTATGTCTTAATAATAAGTAAATACTACGCCCCGCGATACAAATGTTTCTACAGCGCACGCAACCTGTCAAGTGTTTAGTTGAAATCCCTTCTCTACCATAAATCCGCGTTTATATTCCTAATCGCCGGGGATAATAGCCACTTCTGCGGTACCCTCGATACCGATGCATATGTTGTTCTTTGAGAGTGTCACGCACGATATTATTTTTAATATTCTTTATTATTGTACTTATATTAAGAAAAATGCACTTACTGTGTTGTTTAAAAACTCAGAATTCATATTAAAGATAAAAATTTTTAGAATAAAACAAAATGATATAAGATTTTCTCTCAAATATAAAAAAATTGATATAGTAACTTAACATGTGATTTATAAAATAAAATATATTAAATATATTAAAGTCATTTTTTTCAAAAATAATTTTAATTATTAACTTTACTTTTTTGTTTTTTTCAATAGAAAGAAAAAAATGAAAAGATATCTAGAAAGTTGCGGGAAATATAATTATAAAAATAATTTGTGTGCAATGGATCTCCGCCAGCTATAAGTGCCATGCCCTCATTACTTTCGTGACTGGATTCTTATATATAATATCCGTACCGTTTTACTGTGGAGCATACGCACAGCGCGGAGACGTATAAAATTTTAAGCCTTCAGGTCTCATATTTTTACGAGCGAAGGAAGAAACGCGAGGAAAGAAACAAAACCACTCGCTGTTGGCAATTATACACAGTCTACACTGTTCGACCCCGCCTATTCACAGTTCTAATCTTCTGTGAGTTGACTGTCCGTATATCATGTTTTCTCGCGCGTTATTTTAAATTTATTTAATCGACTCTTTACAATAATATCAACAGAAAAATATTTATTACTTCTGATGACGACGACTATACTAACCAAAATGGAATGAATGGGAAAGCGATTGAACATTATTCTCTTAGGTTGGTATTCATAGATCATTTTTATTTCATGACTATCTTAAGTAATGTTTAAGGTGCTAACAGTTAAGATACAGTTCCGTGATTGGTTCATAATATCTTAAGACTGTATTTAAGATTATATCTTAAATATAAGAACCGATTATGAATATCTTAGAATTCCTAAGAAGATCAAATTTCACTATTATTATTTTAGCAAAAGATCTTTAAAAATAACTGCAGAATTTTCATATCTCTGACTTGTTGTCTAAGGCAACAAATTTAATAGCTTACACTTTCGAAAATTGAAAATAAGGTCACTTGAATTGCGTACATTTATATCGATGATATCCGACTAATTTTTCTGCACAATTTTGCCATTAGTACTTGTTGTAATATATAGAGGCAAACGGACGGAAGAATACACCAGTCACGGCATGAATATAATGAGAACGTTAGAGACGGGATAGTCCACGAGGGGTACCATTAGGTCGTGTGCGACGACGTGTTGAGGCTGCACGAAGTCGCGTGTAGCTCGTTAAATTCTTCGGCCGGCGTATGGAACGCGACTACGATTCTGTGAAATTGTGCGATCAATCGTTACAGAAAGTCCCGACTATCAAATGCCACCCGTAGTGTCCATTTAGGACCATACGTTTGAGACTTTTCTGATCAGTCATACCAGTGTTTTTAGCCAAAAGCTTCTAAAGAAAAGTCACATTAAAAGCTTCTCGAGAATTTCTGCAGATTTTATTAAATACTAATTTTTATTAAATACTAATGAACATTAAAATATTCTGATTTATATTCTCTGAACGTTTAAACT